GGCCTGGGTGAATGTCAAGAATGTCTGTCATGCTCATACAAAGTGCTGGCATATGCAATTTTGGTTTTCTTCTCTACTTCTGATTTTTATGGTAGAGGGATGGATGCAATTCATTTTCAATTTATTTTGCAAACCCCAAAGTCAAAGTCTATGTGTACTTTACAAAGTTGGGAATTTGCCAAGATAGATCAGAGAATCGAACATGCATCCATCATAACCAATGTCAAGAGCTGCAAGCAAGCTGAATGAAGCACTTTTGTCTATGAACAACAAAGTAAACTATACAATTCAACATATTTGTGCATCTATTCATCAAGAGAAAAACCAAACATGTTTTAACTGATCATACCATCAGTATATACTTTTAGTCCACAATTCCCGTACTTTAAGCTGCTACTTATTTCTAGCTATTAAGAACAAATGGAAATGTGGAAACAGTCACAAAAAATGAATCATGTATTGAATAGCTATAGCGACTGCTGACCTGAGTTGATAAATGCGAGACCACATTTATACTGAGCTCTTTCATCCAATGAAATCAGAAAAGAATACAAAAGTATGCAACAGTCACGTTCTTCAAACACGTAGTAAATAAATAATGTTAAAGTGCTCACTAACCTTGACATCACAGGTAATGTAATGCTATTCATAGGTGTATTCATGTTGTAGACTTTTATAGAGTTTTTCCCAGATCATTAATTGATAGTGATAAGATCTGTATTGTTTTTTGTCCCCACTTCTAGTCACCTGCATGAGAAAATAATAAGACCTTAGTTCAAATGTATTTATAAAGGTGGAGATGGACCTTTTTGACTGTTTTTGTTTCATGTTGATTGGTCCTGGAATTACAGATAATCTAGCTTTTAGCAGTTGCTGTAATCACCAGAAAATAAATTACAACTTCCACACTATTACATGTATAGACTCTTGCTGTGGTGTCACGGAAACAGGAACTATTGCATTATAAAAACATTCATTTTCCAATAGGACTCCATAATATTTACTTTCACTACATCACACATATGCCAAGGGTTGTAAATAGTGTTGAAATGTCACTTACGTATACTGCTGCTGTAGGTACCGCTGTTTTTGAGTTGATTGCGTGCCGTTACCACTATGTGCTGTTTAGACACGCAACACAAGCCATTTTCGTTCCCTCTCAGATGTGTTTGTGCCTTGAGAGCCGCTCTTTTCCGTGCACAGCGTTTGAGATGGAACAAGAGGTCTGAGATGATAACTGTAATCAAACCGGCGAACTTTGAGACCAAGACGAAAATACTCTACCTTTTGTATTCACAGCCACACACAGGCACAAATTGATTATAGTTGTAAAATAAAATACATATCTTTAAAAAAATCGGCTTAACGCAAAACTTTTTTGTGAGCCTGTCTTAAAAATGGAGCATAAAAATAATATATGTGAACAATATTTACATGTGGGGCTGGTGTCGTTTTTGTGAAAATGTTTGTTGTTCAATGCGGGGGTGGTTGTAGGGCGACATGCTTGGTTTGGTCACAAATAAGCTGTGAAATTAATTATATGCTTAGTTTTGAATCAGAAGCAGCGTATGCAGTGGAAGACGCCCACTTCACATTCACTCATGTGGTGTGAGGGTAAACACGGATGGACAAACTTTTAACTGGAACATCTGATCCAAGGCCGGAGTCTGCATCTGCTTTCATCAGAGAGGGCAATAAATCTGTGTCAAAATGGCCAAGATTTAACGATAAACAAATACGTACAAAAATATGTGTATTCTTTTTGTTTCTTTTTTTGCGAAAATGGGGTTCAGTAGTGTGTCTTGAGGTTTAAGTCTAAACATGAATCATTGAGCAGCTGGGATTTTACGGAAGTCAGCAAATAAATGCATGTTACAGATCAGCAATAATTGAGTATTGACTATATAGATTTACTATTCGCAGTGCATCATGTCATCCATATAAATGTATATTACAGAACTATTTCAAAGGGATAGTCTATGTAACTTTTGTAGCCGTTCAAAGGGCAGCATGTCAAGAGAAATGGGGTGTAAAACTCACTAAACTAAAACTATGGTAAATGTTGTTATTGTGGTCGTATACGTTACATATATTATAAGATAGCTCCTCTTTGACTGGATTCTGCTTAAGATGGTAATATTGATAGGACCTATTCCTCATATATTCTTAGGTATATTAAAAAAAATGAGGTTAACTGACCATATCACAACCTTTAGATCAACATTTTGTTCCCACCCGATCGTAGGTTCATGTTCTCTTTGCTCTCAAATCACTTTTACAGCACTGCAGACATCTATACTATTCTCCTGTACTTTTTTGTGTTTTTTTTCTTTCTCAAAAGTGGTGACTTTTTATTGACATAAAGATTGGATTTGCCGGCACTAGAAGAGCCCGTCTTGTGACTGATCCTATGACTGGAGCGAGGAGGGAGTGGGCACAATTGAAGCTTATGGGAAGTCGGTCAGCGAAGGGCAGATTGATTTGTGTGGCAGTACTGCGGCCCAAGTGACTTTTACCTGTCATGCTGAAGCTGAGTTGTTAGATGGGCCGTGTCATTGCACTGTGGAGCACATTCCTCCACACGGACAAACTGCAGTATTGTGAATTACTTCATTGGCCAGTGCTTGTCCGGCGCAGAGTCGCACTGTCAGAGACTTGCCCTTTCACTAATTAGCCTCGAACATCTGTCCGCATCGCAGACATTGGGAGCTAACTGCACCAGAAACAACAGGATCCCCACAAAAATCATGCTTGATTTTGGAGTTGTCTTGTCTTTGTATGGAGTTTGGTGTCAAAGTTTGCAGAGTAATACCTTCACATGCAATCTATAAACAGAAAGAAAACGGTTTAAAACTTGCTATACACATACTTCCCATATCCATCCATCCATTTTCTACCCCTTAATCCATTTTTGGGTCGGGGGGTTGGCCAGAGATGCCACCCATTACACAAAGTACCAGCCCCTCACTGATCCTCCTGCAGGTGGTGAGTCCACAGGAGGACGTTACAGCCTTGATCTTTCAGTGGGGGCTTCAGGCAAAGTCAGGGGTAAGTGGAGTTGGTGGAGAGGGTCTCATGGTGGGCTCGAACCCATGACCTTCAGGCTCAAAGGCCAATGCTCTACCAACTGAGCCACTGTCGCCCCATATGTTTTGCAATTTCTTTCCTGGAAGGTTTCAAGTAAGGCCGCACATCCCTGTAGTCTGAACTTGCGTGCTGGATTAAAAAAGTGAGAAACGTGAAAACAGTGAAAACAGTGAAAAATCCGCACAGCTATATACATAGTTGCTTAATTTTTCTTACATCTTTTTCTTGGGTTTTGTTATTGATTTTAGCAATCCTCTGCATTCATGGGCATTTATCAACATTGGCACTGGTCAACTCCCCCCTATGCGAATACCAATACTTACATGAATATACTGTATGTGTTCTCTATTCTTTGTATTTGAACTGTTTGATTCTCTAATCTGTGTTGGTGAATTCAGCGGTTTTGTAAAGTCCTCTGAGATCACACCTTGCGTCTGATTCAGAAATAACTCCAGCACTTCCGTCGTAACTCTGGCTCTGATTATGGAGAGCCTCATACCTATTTCAGGCTGGTCGGTTCTCTGCTTTTTGTCCACTCAGAAAAGATACATTTAACTATATACAATGTACAGAAAGACATTCCATCACAACATTATTCACCCAGTTATAGTCAAATTAACCAGATTTTACATAGACACACAATACCCTAAATCACTTCTTCTAATTCATGCTTACTTTTGTATCATTACAAATCTTTGGGTTGCATGAAACACATAATGTGATTGGAGAAGTTGAATTGTCAGGCACCTCAGTTCGGATTGAATAAGACTGCTAGTTTGATGTTCTGTAGAATAATTGTTAAACATATACATATTTTTTGAAAACTTGACAGAACATTTCCTTATTTTATCCTATTCTCAATTGTAGCCTCCCCATGTATGCAGTGGTCTGAATGCTTTACGACAGCCTTCTGTGTTCTAATGATGAAGTTTTATGGCGACTTTGTGGGAGATTAAAGCACTATTAGCCACGCTCCGTCACCCGCTCCAGCTGTTGCCTTTTGTTTACGGCTTAAAAGTGTTTTATGAGGGACCCGCTACAGTAACCTACACAATTGCAGCTAATGATATACGAGTGGGACTGTATTTCAGCGAGGCAGAGATGTGAAACACAGTGCATGATAAAAGAAAGGCCCAAAGGATGAGCTGGGGACATTGACAAAGTCCTCATGGAGATCAGGGATGGAGAGGGGGTTGCTTTAAATCAAATCAAAATGTTATTTTATTCTTATTTGGCAGAGCTTTGCGGGCTTGACTCATCCTCGGGTGCTTTTAAAGGAGACGTACTATAAAAAATAATCTGGTCCTTTTTTTTTCTTTCTAAATCATTGTTCTTTGGTAAGAAAAAAAGACCTGGAGTTATCTTTAATAGCTCTTCATTTGAATTATGAGGAACTTCTGGCACAGACCAGTCCCAACACTCCCCCCTGCTTTTTTGACAGTTTATAAACTTGGTATTCCCAATTATGACAAAGGACAGAAAGGTTTTCTCTAAATTGCCTCCTCATAATTGTTTAGGGAGTTTCTCTAGTCAATTTCCTTTTTTTTTTCTTTTTTTTTTTACATTTACTCTTTGCCATGTTATAGTTTTTTAATTGTATTAATTATTGGAAAAACTACTTCCACCAGTAGAAGATTCCGATATTCTCCTATAAACAAAATGTTGTACTTCATATTTGAATTTATGAATGTTGATGATTGTGTTAAATGGCTGAAGATTTTATTATGTGCTTTAAACGTTTTCAAACAGGGTGAGTTTTCTCTATAATCCTGTTGTTCTATTAATAGCTATGTGTTGAAGAAATACTATGAAGTCGTTTTTACACATGTTGACCGCGGCAGCTGTGGAAAAGCAACACCTTTTGCAATGATTTCCTTTTTCCCTAAATGTGCTATTTTCTTTTGTGATTTCAGGTGGTGGAAACTAACCTGGTGGCCTTCGATTGTCACTGGATATTGATTAATGAGGTGAGTGTCATGAGATGATTTATGGGTCCTGCTGGTCTCCTTTCATTCTGCTTATTGTGTTCAGCTATTATTGAATCACAAGTCCCTCAGCATCTCTTATCTTGGCTTTCAGAACAGCCAAAAGCTCACCTTTTAAACAAGTTTGCCACAAATTCAGGCATGTGTTCCTTTTCTGCCATGTTACAGTTCATGTTTACTTCTTTGCTTCTTTTTCTTTTCTCTTTAAACGTTTTTTTGATTATCAGGAATAGGCACTTGAGATTTTTTCCATAAGGCTCCTGAAAATAACTGCTAACTCTCATTGCCACTAAAATGAATACATTTAGCATTTAAGTGAAGATACATTTCTCATTTGCTTTAATGATCTCTATGATTATTTTAAAGATCATTTCACTGGAACAGAAAAAAGAAAGATTGTTTTTTTATTTTCTATTATGCAAGACAATATGTATTTTTGCCCATGTATGTGGTATTACTTTGTTTATTTACCCTGCAGGCTTGGTCCAACTCTCACGCTCAACCCTCACTTTGCAGATGGGGCCTAAATAGATTCATATCTGCATCTTTATAAGAGTTTAAGAGTTTGTGTATTCCCAAATATTGTGAGACCTGCTGTGTAAAGTAAAATTTTGTTTATCATATTCTAGATTTTACTAAATGTATTCATTCAACTATATTCAGGGCTATATCCAGTGACTAAAACCCCTTGTTCTTTATGTGATCTGTGGTCTTCAGGATACTTTGTTTTTCAGTGCCACCAAAAGCCTGCTGTAGCATCCTTTTTCATCAGCATCCTTTTTTATCACAAAGACGTTGAGCTGTCCTTCACTGTGGATATTTGCACACCAGGAGAGGTTGACTGCATGTCCAGAGATAGCGTCCATTTAGACCATGGTCAGTCAGAATTTGTATGCAAACTGCAGCGGTTTAACACTGTTTAAACTGTATGTTAAATTACACAAGGGGACATCAACCATAGCAACACACAGGATAGAGTATAGAGTTTGCATTATGAAGTAACTTTTAAAGGACCATTATACAGCATTGAAATGTGTGTGTGCGTGTGTGTGTGCGTGTGTGTTTGTGTGTGCGTGTGTGTGTATGCGTGTGTGTTGATGTTTATGCTGGTAATTCATAAATAAACTGTCCCCTTCCTCAGTGTAATCAGAATCAGAATCATTTTTATAACTATGTAAGTAACAGGAAGTCACAGAAAATGCTTTGGCTCGGTGCATCAGTCAGAAAAGAGAGGTAAAGAAAAGAGAGTAGAGTCATGGTGCTTTCAGACCGGATCATGCGTTGCGTCGGGTTTCAATGCAAAGTCTATGGTGATGCGCGTTCGGCCGTCGGTTCGCACAAACGGACTGTTCAGTAGACACGCACGGACTTGGTGGAAAGTGAAAAGGGAGGAGCAGGAGCGAAGAATCGACGCCCACAGGAGATGGATTCTGCTCATCCTTTCCTTCGGACGTTTGTGCGACAACCAATCAGAGAGCAGCAAAGTGGTCACGGGGACATTAGCGTACTGAGAGAGCAGACTGAAAATACTTGTAAACAGCTAAAACATGACCCACACCAGGCTTCACCAGAACTCAAACCAGGGTTGACAATGGGGGACTCTGTGCTTGTGAAAATATGCGTTGTCATGCTCCCGTGACCTTATGCAACTGCTTCGAGTGTGTTCGCAGATGCGAAAAAACGTATGGCGCACCTCTGTGAACACATATTATTGTTATATAAAGCCCGTGGAATGTCTGTGAGCAAAGACACGTTGCAAAGCTGCATATTGGAGAAGATCCGTACACAAGAAGCCGCTAGCATAGCTCTGTTAGCATCAGAGCCGGCCGGTTCTGGTGTGAAGACCCCTGCGTCTGAAAACTAGAGAATGCGCGTCTGGTGAGCAGGGCTTCAGAGTTTCAGCGTTGGCAGTGTGAAAGCCCCATAAGGCATAATATAAATCAGCATACACTTCTAAGATCTAACATTTTAAATATAATTATTACGATTACAATTACTATATACAATATGCAAGTACACATGGTGCACACAGTATGCAGTGCAGTAACGGACAAAATAATAATAATAATAATAATAATAATACTGATGATAATAATAATAGTAATAATGATAATAATAGTCATAATATAGTCATAATATAGTCATAATATAGTAATAATAAATAATAATAATAATAATGACAATAATATTAATGACAATAAAAATAATTGAATGTATTACTTAGGTGCCTTTCTTGACACCCAATGTCAATACAAGTAAAAAAGTAAAATACATGTTAAAAACAGCATGAAAAGAGGATAGTGTGGTTATCTTGATAGCAAAAAAAAATTGTGAAAGTTATGGTGAAAGTGAGGCCTGTCTAAACAGATAAGTATGTAAGTGTTTTGTCCATGGTTTAAAAAAAAGAAACAGCCAGGCGCAGTGAGGTTATAGGCCGTGTTTAAACCATATTATCACTCTGCTCTGAATTCTAGCACATACAGGTGAAACTCTGACAACGCAAACCAATCTAAAGACAAGTGAACATTGAAAGTGCGCCGCCCTTCCAGCCTCTTCACTTCCCACTTTCTGACAGATGGCTTTGGTGATGTCCGCACAGCAGCTCGCCACAACTGTGTGTGATCAGCCAACTCTGCGCTCGGGTTTCTGCTTGGACGCGTTGGTACAGCCAGTGTTCTGACAGGCATCTGCTATTGTCTCATACTCTCCACGCTTCTGGCACTCACTGCTGTTTACGTTAGCCTCCACTGGTGAATCTGAACTCGCCATGTGCAACCAGCTCCAAACAAACAGCATGCACCACACCTGCAGAGGCATCATGGGAAATGTAGTCTGGCAGACGATTTCAAAAGTTGCTTGACTGATAATGACTGCTTGACTAGGTTATTTCAGATTGGACATAATTGGATTCTCACAGAACAGTGTATTGTTTAGTTTAGTATAGAATTGAGTTGCCCTGATTTTAAAATACAGTGGATGACAAAAGGACATGCACTTTTGCACATTTTGTCATACTTACAACTATAAACATCATGATTTTATTAAGGATATATACATTTTAAGGGGTCCAGAACCCACCAGAAACTCAAAACAAGTTTAAGGTGAACTGTTCTTGGTGCAACTTAGTTCAGCAGATCCAAAGTGTGAACACTGGAAAAACGTTTCTTGAGAACTTTCAAACTCACTTTTTGATTTGGATCTTGAGATAAGCACTGTGTATTGTTTTCATTAGAAGATTTGCTTTATATGCAAACTTGGTCATATTAACCCTTTAGAGACGTAGATGTAATTAACAGTTGGATTCTGCTAAGTCTGTAGAATGACTCTCCTGGTGGTTTCTCGTGAAAATGGTGTCATTATTTACTTTTTCAGGTTTATGCGTCTGCTTGACGCTGCTTGCTGCTGCTAGGGGCGACAGTAGCTCAGTTGGTAGAGCATTGGCCTTTGAGCCTGAAGGTCGTGGGTTCAAGCCCACCATAAGACCTACTTCACGACTCCCACTGATGACTGCTGTCGTTGTGTCCTTGGGCAAGACACTTAACCCCACTTTGCCCGAAGCCCCCACTGAAAGATCTCAGCTCCTGTGGACTCACCACCTGCAGGAGGATCAGTGAGGGGCTGGTGCTCTGTGACTGGGTGCAGCTCTGACTGCCACCCCCAGGCCCAGAAATGGATTAAGGGGAAGAAAATGGATGGATGGATGGCGTCTGCTTGATAACAACAATAGATCTGTACTGATTTAAATAAAAAATTTCAGCCAAAAAACTACTTTCTGCATTTATATTTGTAACAACAGAAACACATATAGTTGTAAACCTGTTTCATTTTCTAGAGTGACTTTAGAATGCCGTAGGTGTCTTTGATGGTGAGACCTAGTTTGGCTATAATGTAAACAAAGAAAACAATCAAAATAGAACATTCTACACATTGGTGTTAGTCAAATTTAGATTTTGTTGACAATCCTGATGCTCCTTTAAGCACAGTCAGATGTGAATGTACTATCAGATCCAAAGTTACGTTTGAGCAGATTTATTTGGACAGTAGAAGAGGCTGTTCACAGCTGTGCACAGCTGGAGAGGGGCCAAAGTTTGTGGAGACGTCCTGAGATACTGTTGCTGAGAGGAGCTGGAGATGGGATGTTTAACATCCTGAGTGTTTAGTAGTATTCCGCAAAAAAAAGAACCAGAATTCCATTCATCCATTTTCTTCCCCTTCATCCATTTCTGGGTTGGGGGAGTGGCAGTCAGAGCTGAACCCAATTCACAGAGCACCAGCCCCTCACTGATCCTCCTGCAGATGGTGCGTCCACAGAAGGATGGCTGCTCTGTCGGTGACAGCATAGCCTTGATATTTCAGCAGGGGCTTCAGGCAAAGTGGGGTTAAGTGTCTTGCCCAAGGACACAACGACAGCAGACATCAGTGGGAGTCGGTGAAGTAGGTTCCATGGTGGACTTGAACCCACGACCTTCAGGCCCAAAGGCCAGTGCTCTACCAACTGAGCTACTATTGCCCCGAATCAAAATTCCATGTTGGACATTTGTCTCAAAGCCATAAAACCTACTGAATATGCAAAATAATATTAGACCCCAAATATTATATGTTGATATTTCTTATGTAGTCACTTCTAGGGCTGGAAAGTTTCATACAAATATGCACTTTTTGGTAATGACTTTATCAGATTTTACCTGAGATATTTCTTTCTAGAGGTATTAACTTGTGACCTACATTATAAGTAAGAAACACACTTTAAAGGACAGATCAACCAGGCCAAGTGTGAAAGTTATTCACAGCTTAATCCTTATGTTTCTCTTCGACTATTGAATCTAAATGATGAGACGAGGACACCAACATGTTCAGAACATCCACACTAGAAGTTTAATGAGGCTTGTGTCGACATTTCGTTCTCAGACTTGTCTGTTTGTTTGGTGTACTCTGCTCATGTCAGTGCATTTATCCTTGTGCATTTCCTCAGTCTAATGTCT